AAACTTTCAAGGCATAAATTATTTTTAATTATTTCTTAAATATGACAGAAGTATATTTTCATTGTATTTATACAAGATGTTTGATAAAGGAATTACATTTAATCAGTCAGGCCTTTCAATTTCTTGTTCCTAATACCCTTCCAGTAGGATTTTTCCTTTTTTCTCTTACAACTTCTCACTTTTGTATGGATGCTTGGTTTTTGTCTTCACTTTGCAGTGGGGTTCTACCCCATAATTTTGACTCTGGAACCCTTATCTATTTGACAGTAATTCCTCAAGAAGTCTCAACTATCATTTGTGCTTTTTAAATGCTTTTTCTCCATTTTCCTACAATTTTATTCAATACACTGCAGATCCATAGAGACATAATAACTGGATCTGTTATCTGCCCAAACTGAATGTTAACTTGGATTTCATTCATCATTACTGGCTCTAGACCACAACTAATTTTTAGATCAGTACTTTGTTCCCTGGCAAGTTCCAGGAGAACATTACCACACATTGGGTCCGATGTCTTTTGTGCTACAAAATTAATCTATTTGCTTTTGGAAATGTAACTTAAATTGTGCTAGTTTAAGAGACTAACTCTGCTATAGCATCTCAACTTTGCATTATGCAGCACCGCGTAACAAAAACCTCATTTCCTTATCTGGTGTGATTTTACGGTAAGTAAAGATCCACAACACGAGTTCCATGGAGGATTGTTGGCAGTTACTTATGGGCACTTCAGCTTCTGCAATTCTGAGATACTAATGCAAGCAGCGATATTTTTAGTTTGTATAGTCCTACTCCTTCACACCTTATTAGTCATTTTGTCTGTCTTAAACAGCTTGTAGACAGCGATAGGAAGAGTCCAGCCACATGCATCATGCTGCAGTAATACCAATTCCATCATGCTGGGAAGTCTCACACTGCCTTCCCCTACCTTTCCTGCTCTTCATTTTCTTGCTGTCTCTTGGAGGGGACTTTTAAACCATGTAAGTCTATTAGAACCCAGTGGTAACAGAAGGGTTAACAGTAATGGTAGGTAGAGATCTGCCTTCATGTTCCTCATCCTTTATCAAGTTTAAGTTCCCGCAGGAGGAGGCAGCCTTTGGGGTAACTGCACATTCTCCAGCTGTCCCTGATTCATCCAACACCTCTTAAAATGGTTTGGATGTTCCACTGCTAGTAGGAGTGCCTGTGCAGATGGTGGCTGCCCTGGAGATGGGCTGCTGTCAAACACAGACACGCAAAAGACAAATCCTTGTTTAGTGTGGACAAAATTAATGTGAAGAATTTGAAGAGTATAGTATTCTCCATTTGTTAAAATTACCATTTGCTTCTCAGATACTGGTATTTTTGATCAAATCATAATCCTTCTCATTACTACAAGTCAGTAGGAACCTGAATTTATTTATTGTTCCCTTTTTCTGTGCTATAAAGCATGCATTACTTACTTTACTATACAAGTAATTCTGTAAAGCAAAGAGGGAAAAGGTTAATGTCTCACTTCTGTTCTAGCACTTACCTTCAAGAGAGAACTCTTCTGTCTCTTAGTCTGACAGATGGGAACAGAGGTTATCCATCACTTGCTATACTTGCTCTCTTGTTTGTGTGAACTAAAACTGCAGTAAACAACAGTGATGCGAAATGGAGGCAGGAGCTGTTGATCAGCTAGTATTCAATAATGTGCAACTGCTCAACCTTCACAATATGCAAATCTTTGGTTAACTAGAGAAAAAAAAATTATACTCAAATGTCTTCTAGTTTATGACAGGGAATTCCTGACCTCAGGATGGGCAGGGAGCTGCACAGCCAATTCAAGTGAAGCTCAGTCTGGCTGTCTCTGAAAGCTGCTTGCATCATACTTGGCTCCCAATGAATGAAAATTCAATCTACACGTTCCCATGTAGTTCTTAAAAAAAAAATATGTAAGTTGTATCCACTGCAAAACTGCTGCAGCTCCAAAACAGAACTGAAAGCCTAAAAGATGATTTCCCACATCTACAGGCCTGAGAAGCAAGAGGGAAGCTTGTGTTTCTGTTCTGTGACTCCACAGGAATGAAGGAAGGACTATTAACTCTGCATGTTTTCACATGGAGTATATCTCTGAAAAATCAGACAGAGCAGAAACTCTTCATGCTTTCTTGCAGAGTAACCATAGCACTGGCATGAACATGAGTTTGTGTGACAGAGGTTTTGAATTGAACGTTTTCACAAAACTAAATGCGCTAGCACTGATCCATTATTAGACCACACTGATGTCTTTTGCCCACTAGGTGAACATCAGTTGCCAGTCAAAGGCTGCTTATATAGTGCTTCATTTCTACACAACAGCCATAGGCAAGACACTCTGAACAGAACATCAGGATTTTATTCCAAGAATTTTTACAACATTAGTATTTTACAGGTTTATCCAACTGAACTAATGGCAGAGGACTGATAATAACCATGCTCAGTAAGAACCACAACTGACTTCTTAGAATCCTAGAATCAACCTGGTTGGAAAAGACCTTTAAGATCATCAAGTCCAACCATTACCCCAGGACTACCAAGACCACCACTAAAACATGTCTCTGAGGGTCTCATCTACACGGTTTTTGAACACGTCCAGTGATAGTGATTCCACCACTTCCTTGGGAAGCCTGTTTTTACCATGCTTTTCAGGATTTACTTACATCCCATCTGATAAAACAGTAAGACTTGATTTCTAAGTGTGCTCTTATGGATGAACTTGAAATTCTGCACAGTTGAAAACCAAAGGCACTAAAGATCCCCTCTGCAATTAAGTTATTCATTTATACTTCCTGTAAGTAGTAGTTCCTGTTCAGCTTCCTTTTAATAATTAGGCCATGCAACACTTCCATGAGCTGATGGTGCAACGCTATTTAGTCACATAATGTCAGCCTTCAGCTTCTACCATTACAAAGAAATAGTAATACACAACACTTGCAGACAGAAACCAAGTTGTCTCATATGGAGATGGCTTTAATAGAACTGATGCTAACTACTAATGCAACAAGTCAGCTTTTGCTAACAGCTCAGAACAACCAGAAATGCTATTTACCCCTTTTTTCCATGAGTTATATAGTCATTCACATGCAATAAAAAGTATTTTTTTATACTTACTAGGCTGTTATTTTCTGTAAGCATTCTGAGGCTGACCTTGGTATTTTTATGCTGCCTAGCACATTGGTACCCTGGTGCTTTCATGTTTCCATAGTGGAAAGAATAGTAACAATTCTGTTACAAGTACCAAAAATCCTACCAGCTTAATAGGAAGAGACATCTGTGGGTTGGAAATGGAAAATATCCACTAAAATAGATCACTTAGAATCTCAAAGGTATTATGATTGCTAGGCAAAGCTGTATCCTTAAGTAAGTGCTGGCGCAAGTGTTGAGTGCCTAACTCCCTGCGTGAAACTTTTCAGCTGTACCCTGTGCTCTGTGGAGGATTTCCTCCAGCAGACTTCTCTAATAGTTTCTTCAGCCTAAACAGCATTATGAAAGTGGGAGTATCATTATTTCCTATGGAGACACTCTGCAGACTTACAGAATTCATTACTATTTCCATTCTGTTATTTACCTTAATTTACCCCTAATAACTTTGACAACACCATGATAATGCACTCTTCTGGTTGCTCCAGCAGAAGAATTGATGCCTGCTCTCACAACTAGAAGGAAAATGTTAATACAGAAAATGGAATTAGTAAGAGCAGACACTCCAAAATAGTATGTCTCCTGCATATGAACAAGTTAATAGTGCTTCAAAGCTCGTTTGCTTTTATTTACCTTTTAATAATAATATGCGAGCTGTCTTGCAGAGGTAGCAGTGATTTTCAAGGAAAGATACAGAGAAATTAGCCTATCTTAACTGTTTATATTGATACCCATCTCAGAAATCCAGCAGAGTAAGCTCTGATATTTATCAGTCTCTGACCCAATCACATACATTATCTGCAGATGTAAAACTGTTAGTTGATAGTAGGTTCTCAGCACACACTTATCTTGATAATAACAGAATTCTCATCTTGATAGCATGGAACTGCTGTCAATGAGGTCACAGTGGCAAGTATTTCGATGCAAATTTACCTCAGCCTCTAGCAGTTTATTCAGGTGTAACTTGCCCATATCAAAGCTTGAATAATCGTGGCTTTGCTCTTCTTGATACTGAAGTAACTACACTAACACAAGTTTAGATATTCCTGCGTTTACTGCATTCACACATCCAGCTTCAGGGTAGACATAAAAGGCACGAAGTGATGGTATTTACACCCTCAGTTAAAACTTTATTCTAGAGACATGATCGCTTAGTCTAGGTGCAAGAAAAAAGCAATAACGAGTTTCAAAGATGGTAAGGGAACAGGAAAGCTCTGCCTCTGTAAGGCCCTGACTCCTGGCAATTCCTTTTGATTCCAGTGTGGGGATAGGGTGTGCACGGCAAGTTCACTACGCAAACACCAAAAGGGAACAGGTTAAAATGGAAGGTAAAGGTAAGAGAAAGGGAAGACAAACATACTGGAAGAGCAATTACGAGCACAGAGTCTCCACTTTATGCGTTACAGTTCACTTCCGCAGAGCTAAGGATACACCTTCACTTGATTCGCCACACCTTCCACAGTCCAAACTTGCACAGCACACCGAATTTTGCTTTCCTCTTAAACGCAGCCGAGAGCAGAAGTGCAGCCCCTCCACAGACGCGCTCCCTTTGCCTGGCCCGCCAGCGCTGCCACCGGCAGTAGCACAGGACGGGCTGCAGTCACCTGGAAGGAGCAGAGCCGCTCCCCTCCAGCACGAAACTCTTCTAAACGAGCGCCACGGGTTAAAGCTCACCGTCCTCCGACCGGCTCCCGGGGCCACCCCACTGACCTCTGCCATAACGGAGACAGGCGCGATCACCTCACACCAGCCACTACTAGCAACCCGTTCACTCTGAGGTGATTCAAAATGGCGGCCGCCACCCCGCGTGCTCCCACCCCCCGCCGCGCAGGCGTTCCCCGCCCCGGCGGGCGGTGCTTCCCTTGGCCGCGCTGAGGAGGGGGAGCGGCAGCGGGGCGGTGCGAGGCCGAGCTGCGGGGATCGGAGTGTTCCGGGAGGAGCCCGGCACCTGTCCCGTCGGTGGAGTCTGTTGCTGTGCTCGCCGCCAGGTGTGCGCTGAACCGCACATCGCCGTGCCCTGCCTGCTGCCGGGGTGGGCGCCATGGGAGGCCCCGCGCCGTGCGGGGAGGGTGCTCGGCGGGTGGTGGCAGCCCCATTTCACCTCCGTTGAACCCGCCGCTCCTCCGCTGGGACCGGAGAGCGACATGGACTGCCCGCCGCAGCTGCCAGCCGCCTCCTAGTCCCGCAGCGGCAGCTGTGGGGCGGGTTGGGCATGGCCCAGCATGAAGAGAGCGACGGAGGGCAGCACTACCCCGGTGAGGTGTCAGAGCTTCTGCGTGGCTCTTCCTGCTCGGGTGGTGGCCGGCCCGGCCGTGCTGCCGGGGCTCGGACTGCGCTTGCGGCCGGGGGGTGTTGTGTGGTACCTGTTGAGGTGAGGGGCAGAGCACGGCGCGGGTGGGCTGTGGGGAGCGGCTCCCGGGTCTGGGCTGCATCTGAGGGTCGGTGGCTGCCTGGAGAAGTTGGAGCAGTGGCTCGGGGCCGACGGAGTCTGGGTTGAGCAGCGCGGAGGAGGTGAGCGGTGCTTCCCGAGGCGCTGGGGGACGGCTCTGGTTGTGGGTTTTCGTTTCGTTCCGTTTTTAACGAAGGCCACCGGGTCGGAAGCCTTCTCAGTGTCGGCTCAGCCTCAAAGCCCGTGTAGAGGAAACAACTTTCATCTCTGGCTGCCTCTCCTTCTAGTTGAAGTCTTCTAGGCAATCCCCAGAGACCAGGCAAAACTGCAGCTAACGTGAAGTTCTCATGGCGCTGCTGCTAATGTAATGTGGCCTCGGATTTTTCAGTCGTATCGGTGTGGGGAGGAAAAAAGCTTTTCTAACAGGGGCTTTAGAGGAACACTGTGACTCATATTGCCTGCCTGACATAGCAGGAAAGTGGAAAAGCAGTGAATGGTTTACTTACGATCGCTCTCCAAGCACTCTGCTCAGAGCCGGGTTTGTAAAGCTCAGGCTTCGTGCAGGGTGCCTGCTGAGAGTTAGATAAAAGACTTTTTAATTAAAATAAAAAGAAAATCCCAACTTGTTTTTTTTTTTTTTTTCTGCCATTCAAGCTTTGGCAGTGCTTATGTGTGTAGCCATAATCGCTGTATCTCACGCTTTGCTGAAAGCTAGGCTTGCAGCCTCAGGAATTCTTCTCTGTTGGCAGTGCTGTGGCTGTTAAAGCATCAACATAAACAGTCTGAACTGAGAAATGTTTAATAAACAAAACTGGATTTGATGCCCTTGTGCACCGAGGTCACCTGCAGTCGCAGTTGATAGCAGTGTGTTTCTTGGTATGTGCAACAAAAATGTTGCCAAATAGAGTATAAACCTTTATTTTTTTTTCCTTTAAGAAGAGAAAGCCCAGCACTTGCCGCAGTTTAATGAAGGAAATTCACTGCTTTTAAAAACTTAAAAAAAAAAAAAATTGTTGGCAGAGATGTGTTGAAGAGACACAAACTGTGTGTGATGAAAACTGAGATGTTAACTGTTTGAGAACTGAACAGTAGATGTAAACACTCCTCTTATTATTCCTGAGAGGCAGGAAGATGCAAAGCCTGTTTAGGTGATAGCTGTTTCACCTTTCCTTCTAAACAAGTTTGTTGCCTAAACTGCATTGCAAGACACAGGGAACTTGTGCTGTGGAAGTAAGCGGCACAAGTGATCTTGTGTTACTCTAATGGCTCGGCATTTCTGGTAACTTTCTTTAAATTTTACATTACAATTGGTTAAAAAGCTAATTTATTCTAGATCTTACAAATTCAAATCAAACACGATGTGTTCTCTCTGTGTGGTTGAGCAATAGGCAAAGTCACAACTTTTTAAAACTGCTGGTTATTGTCAGGACATGCTGTGATCAGAATCCAGGGAATGTGAGGCCGTACAGACTGCCATAGTGGAACAGAGCAACTCCATCTGTCAGACGGAAGAATTTACCTGGGAGAGGGCCTAAAAGCAAGATGAATGTGTACTGATATTTCCATGGAGTTCTGGCACTTACAGTCCAGGGACTTACTGAGTTTCTTTTTGTTTAGGAGTCCTGAGTGATTTTTTTTCTTCCCTGAGCTTACATGTAAGTTTCTGGCATCTGCAGTGTACTGTGGCGAGGAGTTACGCAGTTCAGCTACCCTTAGCCTGAATAGCTATATCCTGATGTTAATTTGGAGCCTGGCGACAAAGCTGTCTCTATTTGTTGTCCCTTAGCGCTTATGTTGGAAGAGTTAACGAGTAAATAACACCTGCCTACACTGTCATTGCCACGTGTGACCTCTGCTATGTTTTCCCATGTCCTTTTCCCGTGTTCTCTCTCTTCTATGGTATTAGCAGGAGATCGCGGTTCCTATAAGGTACAGAATGTTAGGACTTTACAGATATAAATTTTTAGATGATAAATAGATTTAGGTAAACCACGGGGATTATGAATGTTGTGCAGACACAATTGCTTACTCTTTCTCAATAGTTTATAATACTACTAATATGTCAAGATCTTATTAAGATGATAATGTTAAAAAAGATATGTTAGTAAATGATTTATGGAAAGAAGTTAGTGTTGGAACACACGACACCTGGAATGTTTAACATTGTCAGATTTGCACTCAACAGTGAGGCAGGTAAAATAAGGAATATAAATATCACTTTACTAGATCCTTAAAAAACAGTCTTACAACCACATAATGCAAAATGAACCAAGGAATTCTCATGTATGTTTTTGACAGCTGATTACATCTCAAGTTGTCATTTAAAGCCCTTGATGGGTCTACTTCAAAGCTTCCTACAGTTTTGCTGAACTGTGTAAAACCTTTGTAGGCTGTTATTGCATAATTTGCTTCAACAAGCTGTAGCTGTTGGATACTTCTGCATTTGCTGGTTGCCTGTTTAAAGGATGCCTTCTTGTTAAATTTCTTTAAAAAAAAAAAGCCAAGCCAAGTTAAAATAGCTCCAGTACCCCACATGGAAATTCAGTTTCACTTCTCTTTGAACTCTCTGGTTTACAGAATTGTTTGGCCTTTTTAGCTGCTGTATTTACTGGCTCTTCCAAGGCCACTGGAATGTTTACCATTTGTAGGCTTAGTAATTAAACCAAGGACTGGCTACTGCTTGGGAAAATCATGGTGTAGGAGTGAGGGCAGTCACTGGAGGAATTCATAATGGGAACAAGCTTGTGCTGTTTATCCAAACACCATCCAAGTTGTTCCTGGCTCATTACATTTCTGTACTTTGTTTGGGCTGTGTTTTCTAGATGCATTCAGAAGCATGAGCTGTGATAAAGCAAACACCTGCACCCTTGTTTAGGCCCATCGGGGGTGTGTGTCTATGCTTTAAAGTAACATTGGTGCTGGGTGGGCTGTTGATTTTAAGAGCAATATAACGTGTATGAAGGCATGGGTGAGCATAGGGAAGACAAAACAGTCAGACTTATGTTAGAAAAATAAGTGAATCCAATCAAGAAGCTCAAGAGAGCCCAAGATCCAAGTATATGCTACAGTAATTGCATCTAATGTTCCACGTCATGTCATACTTGTACACTTTGACTATCACAGTTGACTTTACTAGGTAGAACAGCTTGTTGCCTGTACTCAAGGGTTGTTGTTCATGTTTGGGGGGATTTTTTGCTGGCCTTTGCAATTTTAATTTAGTGAACTGAGGTTGGTTTGTAATATATACAGTTTGGTATGCTAGTTGTCTTGAGACAACATGTCTTTAAATTGCAGGGGATGTAAACTTTTCAAACCATGGTAATGTGAAAAAAGAAAAGTTGCTATAGCAACTCTGAGAAAAGTGTTCATCTTCACAAGCTTTTTAGTCAAAACAATACATCTGAAACCTTGTTTATCCAAAGTATTAGGCAATTGATGCATTGATTGATTTGGATGGGTAGTATATAGTTAGCTGTTAGAAAGTTATGAAAAGGTTTGAAAGATGCAGTATCCAGGGTTGTTTCTACTTGACTTTTCGTCATACTTGGGAGTGGATTGAGCTGGGGTGTCAGATCAGCCAGTTGAATAGCAATTGTGTAGTAAGCGAAACAGTTGGTACAGCATATGTAGTATGTTTGGATTCATGAACTTTTCATATGACTGAAAGCTTGTGGAAGAAATTGTTATGGTTTGGACCACTGGAATGTGTTTGAAATGTGTTTTCTGACACTTGCCTGTCAGTATCACAGTGTCAAAGTGTATTGATGGGCTCAGATCTAAGAACAGACAGCATGTTGATCTCTGGTGTCTGGCAGGACTTAGGTGCCATTACCCAGTGGTTTGGAACTACTGAGGGGAACCAGTTTTCCAAAATGAGATGTTTGGAGTTTGCTTTGTTTTGTGGGAGTGGTGTGTGTTGGTTGTTTCTTAAAGGTAGAGTGTGGGGAGGACCTCCTAGAGGAGGACTCGCACCTTCAATTACGTGTTAACACTTGAGAGAGGATAGGGACCAGAAGCAGGACACGAGGCTTCAGGAAGTGGAGAAGGTTCTATCTAGAAAGCAAACTGTTTGCAAGATGGAAAGAGAGTTCTTCACTCCTTCACACTTAGCCCAGCGTGTTTCAGAGTGAAGGAACTAAGCAATATGTGCATATTTCTTCTGCCAACTGCTGCAGAGTAATTACATTGCAGACTTCAGCTGTGCATAATTTAACTTCATTTGGAAAAAGGAGGTGTATGTATTGTCACAGTAATAAGCATGTAGGGTTTTAAAGGGTCAGTAGCAGTTCTGAGAGCTATGGTAGCAGTCCTGATGGTGTTCCAGGTTTATGGAGGGCTGCAGTTGCCCATGGGAACAATTGCCCAGTGCATCCAACCTGCAGCTCATACTTGACTGCCCTCTCTTTGAGGGTCACTCAAATTTAGACTGGAAGTGGGGCACAGGCTGGATTAAGTAACCTGCTGGCAAAGTAACCATCAGGTTAAGTAACCCTGGGGAGATTATCCTTCATTGCAGATATGAAGGATAGTGATCCCTGAGTGCAGCAAATGCAATATATTGGCAAATGTCAGTTTTACTATACCCACACATGAGGTACATCCTGTGTATTGTCAAAGCATTGACCGAGTGGATAGCTTTATAGCTATTCAGATTATGCATCTCTTGCTTAATGCAAAACTCATATATTATGCATTCATTTTCAGTGATAAATTTATTATCAGTTTTATGGTTTCCAGAAGACTGCAAAAAAAATCTGCTTAAATGAATACTTCAGAGTTTTGGTCTAAGTGTATGGAAGGAAGTTTTGTAGCCCTTCCTCCCCCCTCCCAACATTGCTAAATATGCATTTAGGACTCTATAAAAATATGTATGTGTAAAAATAACTTTAAAATACTTGTCTTAATATTGCCATGGAACCTGAAAGTACTGCAGCTTCTATATGTGGTTTCAGTCTGAGGAGATGTGAACACAAAGTGAACACTGGTATGCAGACTGCTTATGAAAAGCTCTTCATGCTTTGCATTTTCTAGAAGCCTGATTTAAGTTGCCATTTTCTTGCTTGTTCAAGCAGGGGAAAGGGATAGTGATCATGTGCAAGAGAATATGAGTAACTTCTAATTTAAAACCTAAATGATGACATGACTGAGTGTATTTAAAAAAAAACAACAGCACAAACAAAATATATCCCACTTACAGCCAAGAAAAGACCACAACCTTCCCGCAAACTCATCATCTTGTCTTTTCTTTCTTTCTAACCAGTTACCAGTTGGGCCAAGACAACTGATGTAAATTTATCCAACTCTTTAAACGGTTTGAGCTTCATGGGAATTCTGGACACAAGAGTGAGCAGTGGCATCCAAGGCCTTCACAACTTGAACTCTGGGACCCCAAGATCTCTCTCATTGCCTGAGTATGGGCCTGGTCAGCTGTCCAGTGCTTTAGAAGACTATCATAGCCTTAAATCAGTGGATTCTGGGATTCCAACTCTAGAAATAGGAAATCCAGAGCCTGTTCACTGCAGTGTGTTAAATGTGAAGAGAAAGCAGTCGGAACCTGAAATTGTGCCTGACAGGGGTTTTCAGAGCGCATGCACACTGCCATCCTATGTGCCTCCACATTCGCTGACTGCTGAACATGACCATGCTGTGCGAAAATCCTCTACTTTCCCCAGAACTGGGTATGACACCGTCAAACTTTACAGTCCAACTTCGAAAACTCTGAATCGCAGTGATGATATCTCTGTCTGTAGTGTTTCTAGTCTTAGCACAGAACTGTCAGCAACTTTATCAGTTAGCAACGAAGACATTTTGGACTTTATGGTCACCAGCAGTTCAAGTGCAATTGTGAATCTTGAGACTGATGAGGCGCACTTCTCAGATGTTACCCTGAATTCCAGTAAAGAGACCAGTGATCAGAGCCAGCAGGAGTTCTGTCATGAGACGGATGTGGATAGTAAACGAAAAATACTGGGACCTTTTACAAACTTCTTTGCCAGGTAATGTTTCCATAAAATATGTTTATATTTTAACACTGAGATTAAGATCATAGGAGAGAGGTCTTCTGTGATATTTTACTTTGAAAGAATTAACAGCTTGCTATTTTAATCTAAATAGGTATTAACAACATATTTTGTTCTGAATAAGTAGGCAAATATTGCTAGGGACTAAGGCTCTGAATCCTACTCTCTATTATCTGCATGATATATAGAAACATCTTAAATCTTCTTAAAAGATTCCTTTTACATTACAGGAAAATTACTTCTAAGCAAAATTTTTATCCCCTCTGAACCAGGGTTTTCTTCCTGGCTTCTCCAGTGATGCCGTTTGTGACTTTGGCCAAGATCCTTAGTCACATGTCATATAAATAAGTAAATATAAGTAGGATCCATACCTTTATTGAAGAGCTTTAACATATAAGGATTCATAAGTAGTCTAGCAGTGATGGAGTAGTTTATTGATCATTTTAAGCATGTGAAGCTTAAAATACAAATGTTTGCTAAAAACTCTTGTGACTACTGTTATTCTTCTAGTAACAGCTGACATTTTTGTCACTTGGTTGTTGGAGTGAAGGCATTGGCCACTCAAAGAAAGCAGTTACATGACCTTCTAAACATGATGTTCCAAATGCAGATACCCAGTGAAAGTGGTGAATGACTAAAAGGCGTAGTCTATTTTTGGGGGTTTGTATTTATTTAAGGCCTTCATAACATCTATTTTTTAGGATGTAATATCTGAAGTATGATAGATGTTAAAGAAACAGTTCTGGAAATAAACTTTAGACATCAAGCAGAGCTGGCTGTATCTAACCTTTTCTAAATGTGTGATTGCTTCAGCTAATCTCTGTTTCTTCATGTAAAATTGTTTTTGCATGAGATTAATAGGCTGATAAAGAATTGGCAGACATCATCCTTCGAAAGGCTGCCTTATTTGCAAAGCTTGAGAAAAACAGTTTCTTTAGCTATACTAAACTGGCTGAAGCCTTCATTGATTTTTATTCTTAGGTTAAAGTACTGTGTAGTAGAACTCTAGTCATCAGTCATGTTTGAGGTGCTGAAGCTTTTGTGGACCTCTCTGTTGCCATGGAACCAGACTTAATTCTGAAGCAGGAGGCTTCTCAGCACTTCAAAGCGTGAGCTTTTGTTTCCCATCCTGGTAGCACAACTGCCAATTCAAACAAATGCTGTCCTTCAGCCTGGAGGGAGCACAGCCGAACAGGCACATTGAGACTCTGCTTAAAGTAGGATGTTTAACCACTTCTCATCTTTACCCATCCAACAAAATAAAGCAATCTGTCCAAATTCTGTTCTGCCGTGGTCTCTAGTGGTTTTGCCAGTGTTAAACAAGCTGTGGTACTCGCTAGACTGAGCTTTTTAACCTGAATCTTTTCAGGTACATTGAATTCCAGAGAACAAAGGCTGTCCTTGCTACCTTTTAAATGGAGAACAGGTAATCTTGATTACCATATGATGTCATCGCATGAATATGAGGATTAAGTGCAAACCAGGTGCTCTGTCTGTATTCTGGCCTTTAATATCTTTCCTTTTAACATCCACTTTCTGCTCTGTTTTGAGAACAAGAGTTTATCACTTGTTATCTGTACTTGCACATCCTCCCCATGTTTTATGCATCCACTCTCATATACTGTGCAACCTGGTCCTGAGTTTCACAGGTATCGAACAAGCAGGGAGCTGCTGAGGGTCCTTCTGGGCCATGCTATCTGTATTTATGCTGTCAACACTGTTAAGGATCAAAACATGCTGTTGCTATTTTTTGTTGATATTTGCAATCTGCTGCCCATGGGGTTGTAGCTGCTTCCTCTAATGATCCCATACAGTCCCTGTTCACGGGAATTTCTATGGGCTTCTTGGATTCATTCCCAGGGCTTAAATGAGTACTTCAGTAAATGACCTTGGGCCCTTCAGTGTTTTGTTTGAAGGCTTCTAGGGTCCTTCCTACGTAGCTGAGCCTGTGCTGTGTGCCAGGGTTTGTGTACAGTGTTAGAGGAGGAGGAGGCATTTGGAATAGTATCTTTGAAGACCAGCTCGCTAAGGAGGTAGCTTCTGAAAGTAGTTTATAAACAAGTGGTGCAGTGGTAGGTAGAAACGAAGTCCCAGAGAGGAGCATTTTCTTAGCGCTTCACACTGTCCTGAAAGGAGTTTCACTTGAGGTTCACAGTCTTGCAGGTTAAGTGTGCAAAACTTCCCTTTCAAAAATCAAGGATGAACTATGGCAGGAGACAGACAAATTGCTTTGGGTTTGGTCAGCAGTAGGCACACGTGTGCAGTGTGGAAGAGCAAACACCTGAGTGGTTTGTACATAGCCTTTCTGCCTTCCAGCATCCTGATGGTGATGGGATAAGGCTCCAGTGCAGGGGCTCTCAGGCTTAATCTGCACATTTAGCTCTTTGACAGCTCTTCTGAGTAATGGGATATGGGTTTGAACCATTGAGAGTGAAGATGAATAAGCTTAAGTTGTTGACCTTTGGTAAAAGGAGAAGCCTTCCTTCCTGAAACAGCAGCAGTGCTTACACTGAATCCAGTCTGGCATCTGAGAATGTGTTAGCTTCTCTGAACTTGTCAAGACTGAGTTTACTCTGGATATGTCAGTTAAGATTTGTAGCTGTCTGATACTACCGACAAAAATCAGATGCCTCCAGTAGCACCTAAGCATCATTTAATGGGCGCTTGGGAATGGAGAGCTCCTGCCCTGCCTTCTTGAGCACTATAGTGAAGAACATCTGCAAGACGGTTCCTCTGGCTTGGTTGCTGTCTCTTCAGTTGGTGGAGCCTTGGAAGGGTCTGGTTGTTTCCTCAGGCTGGTACATGCCTCTTTGGGTGTGGCAGGAAGATCCAAAGCGAGAAAAAGAGGCCACTTTCCTGCTTGCTTATTCATAGCTTTCCTCTTGAAAGAGCTTAAGGCACAGGTACAGTGCTAGGTGGGGTACTGGTGCTCTCATAAGGCTCCAGGTTAGCACATGAAACTGTTTTTTTTTGTTTCTGAAAGCAGCTGTAATGCTGACTGTTGGCAAAGAAACCTGATGTTGGTTGTTTTCCAGTGTTATGTGTACTTGTGTCAGCTGTAAGAGGCTGTAGGTCTTTCATATAAAGCATGAGTTTGAATTAATTTCCTCCATTTGAATATATGCAGGAACCTGATTTGAGAAACAGGGTGAGCAAATAAATGATTGGGTGACTAAAGAGCTGCTGGCTTGTCTGTGCCTTCGCCCTAGTGACCCAGAGTAGCGCAGGTTAATGAGTTTTACCTTTGGACTTTGCTTCTGCATAGCACTGCTGAAACACAGACTTTTTAAATGCTTGGGGTTTAAACAGCTTTGATGAGTCAGGATTGTTGTGATCTTAGTGTGGATGTTGTACTTTCATTTATCTCTTTCATTTATTGTTTTGGAGACTGAGAATGAGGCTTTCTATGGTTATGCACAGAGTGAACATAAGAAGGACTAGGAGTAGGTGCAGTTAAATAATAAGCCATGCAGATCCCTTCCTTTTTTAATGAGCTACAGGAATCCAAACTCTTTACTTAGTCTACTGCTGTGGATATTTTCTATTTTGTGTCCTCTTTCTTTTCAGGCTACTCCTAAAAGTTTTTCATCCAAATGTCCTAAGTAGCAGATCTTGGGAAACCTCTGCAGCAAATGGGGACTATGCATGAAATAAAGGGCTTTAAGAGTACTATTACATTTTACTGTTTCCAAAGAACCTCTGTATTTGAGAGAGAGAGCTTCTAAAGCACAGTTTACACCCTATACCACATACAGAATCACAGACCTAGTCCAGACTGTAGCTTTACTTGTCATCTGATAAACAAAAGGGCTTAACTTTCAAAATAATACCTACTGGTTTCAGCATTAAGTCTGAAATCTTGTGAATTTGATATGTTTATATCACGTATACATACATGTGTTTTCAGGTGACTGGTCACGTAATTTGGATTTCTGACATTTGGAATTGGGTCCTTTGATAGTATAGGTAAGTCACCTGTGTTAATAAATAGGGCCCTTCCCTAATGCTGCATTTTGTTTTTAGTGAGAGGACAGCTTATTGTACTTCTCTAATTTTGGTGTTCAAAAGAAGACAGAATAATATGGAGTATTATAGTGTTGATTTCCCATTTTTGTCTCTCTGAAAAGGGAATTGACTGACCACTGAAGGGAAAAGAAAGGATGAAAATCCTTATGAATCATAGAATCGTTAGGGTTGGAAAGGACCTTAAGATCATCTAGTTCCAACCCCCCTGCTGTGGGCAGGGACACCTTACGCTAAATCATATCACCCAAGGCCTCGTCCAACCTGGTCTTGAACACCGCCAGGGATGGAGCATTCACAACTTCCTTGGCCAACCCATTCCAGTGCCTCACCACCCTAAGAGGAAAGAATTTCCTTCTTATATCCAATCTAAACTTCCCCTGTTTAAGTTTTAACCCCTTACCCCTTGTCCTGTCACTACAGTCTCTAATGAAGGGTCCCTCTCCAGCATCCCTGTAGCCCCCCTTCAGATACTGGAAGGCTGCTATGAGGTCTCCACGCAGCCTTCTCTTCTCCAGGCTGAACAGCGCCAACTTTCTCAGCTAAATGGTTGAGTAATGTGAGATGCTAAACTTGATATATCATGTTGTCTTCTCTTCTGTGCCTGTTTTATGTTAAATGAAGCCTATTAAATAGAACCTAGGCTGTTCAGGAGGAGACAGGCTGAGAACAGGACTCAGGTGTGTAGGAGGAGGGACACAAAGAGCTGTGACACAGCTAGGTTACACAGCTTGTAACCACCAGTGAATAAAAACTATCTGAGCTGCAGGTATTGTCCAGAAGTTCCCACCTTCTGATGGAGGGAACCTACATGAACACCCAGCACAGGCTGCTTCCCTTTCCTGCAGGGGAGCTGTGGTTTCCTCTCCCCCAGGATTCACTTTCCTGTTGGAGGGAAAAGAGGAATTTGGTGGAGGGTATGTCCCTCGCTGCTACTATATCTGTATGCATAT